CAAAAAAATCCAGCCACTATGTACTAGACAGAGAAATCTATTTCTTGCCTGTCCTCCTTCTCACCCAGTTTTTGCTATGCCTTTTGTTTTTGACTGTAGAGGAAGCCTGTGATGATGACTGATGACTTCTAAACTGAGAATCTTTATTGGGAAAGAAAGACTAATTTTAACAGTTGTTTTCTTGACCATTTTTACATAAAATGCTATAGAGCTTGAAATAACTACAGAAAATAATAGCCAAAGGAATTTTTTGTAATGGAAAATTAAAATAGTCTTTACTACTTTCACACTAATTTTCCTTAGTGTGGCAATGTGGAATAATCTGACTTGTCATTTGCCAACAACCATTAACCCCATCAGACACAAGATTCCACTGCAGTCCAAATGCCTTGAGACTTTTTTTCCTCTACCATCTATAAAGATACAACAATTCATCTTTTGGAAACTTTTGTGTAACCATGAACAACTTAAATGTATTCATGTCCAAGAAGTGCTGTAATACTACAGGAAAAATGTAATGTATCAAAAATCTAGCAGCATCCTAGCAAGTTGTAAGGCTAGGGAATATGATAAAATAGGAAACCCAAAACTGACAGTGTTTCCAGAACCTGTCATACTTCTAATGTCAACAGAAGCTTTTCTGTCCAGAAATGCAGTAAACACCAATGCGTCAGCATCACTGGTGTGGTATCCATATACTTCGTCCATTGTCTAACACTAGAATTACAATTCTAAGTAATCCCTATAATTTTGGTATTTTTTATTCATGTATTCTATGCTTTGCAAAACCAGCAGGGCCACAACATACATCTCTGACACAGCTAGAGAGGTGCTTATAAAACCAAGAATTAATACAACTCCAAAATAAGTCTCCTGTCTATGTGGGAGTTACTACAAAATAACTGCACCAGCAGTCATGCTGGCATTTGGCATGGCTTGGTTTCAGCAGGCAGCTCCAACCCTCAAAACTTACCAGCTCCTATGTTCAACTTTTTCATCAGTCTAGTCTGGTAAAGCTGTATTATTTTTAATGCTAAACAAAGAGTTGTGTTTACAGCTATGAACCAACCTGAGTGCTGGTAAGAAAGGGAATCCTCTGTAGGTCTTTCTATGGGCCGCTTGTTTTTCATGAATTCCTTCTTCGACTGGAGCAATCTGAGTGATTCATTGTAATGGTGCCTGCACTTAAAATAAAGGCTTCTGTGTGAGGTAATCCTCTCAGAGATGCACAAAACGATTACCTGGCACTTTCAGATTCAAGAACACAGTCTGCTTTTATGCACTTGGATTTGAATACAATTTGTTAAGAATTTAGCATATTCATTCTAGCATGAGATTATTATCAATGTAGTTAACATTTTGCAGAATTCACAAGCAATCTCTGTAATGGCACTCTGGTTTTCAACTCCTTTTTGAAATTCTACCATTATGGCAATTTTGGTAGCAACATTACATTTAAAACATTGTGGTGGTTTTTGCTTGAAACAGTTAAATCACACTTCAACCACTAGATTTAATTTCTTGGTTAAATACAACCCCTCATGGTGACGTTTCTATAACGTGTGCTCAGTTTTCAGGAGGAGACATTCTTGTTCTCACCCTCTTCTCCACAAAAACATGTTCCCTGATTTTTCACCTTGTGGTTTTCCCTTTCATTTTAAATAAAAGAATCACAGTCCTGAGAAATGCAAAATATACAATCCTCATAAGATTTTTGACATCTGCGATGCTTCTAATTTTAGTGAGTTCAGATCCATGAAGGCAGGCAAGGATCCTTTTGTCAGTTTTTCCAGGTTTCTATTACTTTATTCTTTTGCTGCTCCTGATCACTGGTGCCCCACTGCAATACTAGTACTATTACCTCGTCGTAGTGGCCCCTTCTTTGATCACGAAGGCAAGTGCCAATCTTTGATCCAAACACCTAAACTCCCTTCCTTCCAAATCAGCATGGCCTTGCCTGTTTAGAATAGTCCCTGACTTGCACCATCCTAAGCCATCCTTAGGCATTGCTCATATGGGCACGAGCCAAAATCATTTCAGGAAACAAGCTCACGGTTAAACAGGGCAGGTAGACACAGACTCAAGCAGTGTTCCATCTCTGTCTAGTACATATATAGCCAAAGTGACCATTGGGTCTTATATTACTGTCTCAAAGGAAAGATCATGAGTTACAAGGTACAGTCTGAATTCAGTACATGTACAAAGCCATAGATAACCCTTTGAATGTCTGGCCTAAGGAATGAATTTATAGTTTGGTGATTTAAATGTACGCTCTTCAAATCATGCAAATACTTTTAGCCACAGGAATAAGTTGCACAAGTGTCAAGAACCTACACCTAGACAGGCTGCATAACTATCTCCAGTAATTTTTGATGCTCAGCCATTGGCTAAAGAAACTGCATAGACAAGAGGTGAGGGACATATGGTAGTAGAGAGAAGGTAGCAATAGCTTGGCCTGTGCCTTCCTACCTTTCTATTTTTAATCCTGGCTTCTTGTAAACAGGCTGATGCTATGTATAGTCAAGTATTCTAACTTTGTATCATGAACTGACATTCTTGGGCCATGATTCAAAAATAAGAACTCTTGGCAAAGAGCTCACTGCAGGACTAACGTTACAAGTACTGCAGAATCTTAACTGCCAAAAGGTCTGTTCAGCAGGCGTTTCAAGTGCTGGGGCAGGCAGGCTTACGTCATTTTAAAGATACACCAAAGAGGACAAACCAATCTGTCAGTTTATCAAGCATCTTCTGAACTGTATATGAAGCTTTGAATAACTATATAATTAAATCACAAGTGCAATTCAACAAAAAGTTGGTTAAATAGATCTTTGCCAATTCTAAATTAATTCATAGTAGATCTGCACCACAATCAAATTGACATTACAAGAGGAATGAATGTAGTTCTTTGGTTACTGACAATACTGTTTTCTTGTCTAGGAAGAATATTCAGGAACAGCAGTTAAGTGGGAAACAGGTCTATCATGTTCCCTCTTCCTCTCTAAAAAAAGCCTTGGGATAGTCTCCAAAATTTCCATACTCACTTAACGTAACAGGCAACTAATAGCACCACCACAAGTGGGATATGAGTTTTGCTGCTTAAAATTCTTTTATATCATAACTATTTGGGAGCCTCTGCAAAATCCACAGATTTTGATGAAATATGACATTTTCATTGCACTCAGGTAAAACAAGTACTGTAGGAAAAGGCCATTCATGTGTCTCAGGACACAATGTTCTACTGCAGTTAAGTGTACAATTCAAAATACTGATAAGAAGAGACATTTAGGTACAATAATGTTTTTTGCCTTTGCCTTGCAATAGCAAAATCTCTTTCTATTGGTACTAAAGTTTCCTACCTGAGGGAGCTTATAATGAAGGTAGCAATTGGTTCTTGGTTCTTTGACCAGGGGAGAATCTATAGATTAACCTTCAACACTTGTGAAGAAGCACAACTCCACAATAAACCATTGCCTGTTCATAATTGGTAAGGACCTAGCCCTAAAGTCACCACTTTTTTTTTTTTTAATATTCACGTGTGACAGTTAAAATACAATATAAAGTCAAAATACCTACATGTGCTATTTTATCAGGATGCTGCTTCCCCATTCAAGGGTCAGGGTTCAGCATTAGATTATGGCACTGGTTCAGCTCATTAATATAGGTCATCATTTGGGAAAAAATTATTTAAGCTCATTTCTCTCCTGAATAGGCATCCATTTCAACATTTTGTGAATTTATTTATAAAACTAGAGGTTCACTTTCTAGGCAGACAGGCAGTTTGGCTGTTCATACCACATTGATACTATTTTCCCTGAGCAGAAAACTATACATACAGGTTTTATTTACCATACCTCTTATCCTAAAGGACTCTGAATTGGATTTACAATTTACAAACCCAATCTTGCAAATAGTACTCACTTCAGTTGGAGCTGTGCAAGATCAAAGCCTTTGTAAGTAAGATCACCTGATCTCTAAGATTTGTGGCTGCTTCTCTGGAGGAAAACAGTTTTACAAAACTGAAGTTTAGGAGCAAAATCCCATACCCAGCCAATACTGCAGGACAGACCTTTTGGTGACTTCTCACACTGGAATATACAGTTGTGATTAGAGAAAAGGATAGAGAAGTTTTCTGCAAAGACAGGGTAGATTGCCTAGTCTTCCTCCTGCCCCGATCCTATTCTGCTGGCTGGAGGGAAGGGGCGAAAGGAGCAACTGGATGTCTGTGTTCGCTCAGTGAAGCAAATAAAAGCAGAACTAAAATGCTCCACTAGTTGTTTTGTAAGTATGTAGGGTATTCTTATGTATGCTTTTGTAAAGTAACAGGTCTGTTTTTTAATTGCTTTTACATAGAGCCATAAGAGCTTTCTGGGCAGTTGTTGGAAGGCACATTTTAGAGCCTTAAGCTATGCAAACAACTCTTTCCAGTTAGAAAGTAACCTAGAAAATGTGGATAGAAATGAAGAATCATTGATAGTTCTTAAAGCATACCTGCTTTCTTGAAAGACATCCATGAAGTCTTGCACTTCAACAGTATCTGTTGACTTCTGTAGCATCTACATTTCCAAAAAGTGGCTAGCACAAGAAGTTTGTGTTTTCATACCTTGCCCCATAATGCATTTACTACCAAGACCAACCATATGGGTAAAAGGCACGTTTCAAGGTCCTTACATCAAGTTAACAGGTTTTGGACAAATTGTTTAATTTTTCCTTCCAGCACAAAACCACAGCAAACTCAGTGATTTTCAAGAAAACATCAGCAGTTATGGGCTTGGGTTTAACTTGCCATTAGAGTTAGTAAGAAAACTTTTCAAGGATGTGTGAACAGATAAACCTGCAGGCATAATAATGCCAACATAGCTAATCCGGAATAGGGATGCTCCTGAAGAACAGGTTTGTTTGTAAACTCCCTTACTTTCCAGTTAAGATCTCTATATTACAAGAGAAATAACATGAGAGCCAAGAACTTTTCTGCAGAACTCTTTCAGTGACTATAATTTTTGCAAGACCCTTTCTTGGCAGAGGCTTTCCACATGCATCTAACTACTTAAACAGCACAAGCGCAGTACTGTAGAGTATTGCATAGGTCTGGGGAAAGCCTGTCTGCTTTGCACTAGAAAAGGAAAGACTCCAGATGGGGAATACTGACTACACAGCCTTTCTGGAGGAAAATGATGTGAATTTTCATTGCTTACAGATATAACACTTTATCTTATAGCAGGTGATGCCATAAACAGACATATTCTGCTTTGCCTGGGTGTTTTACAGGAGCAAGTTCTGTGCATTGACCTGGTAGCCTGACAGATTTTTGGCAATCAGTAAGTTCATAAAGGAAAAAAACGTAATTACCTTAATACTTTTACTGTCTCTGTCCAAGTCTCCTGTTCACTCTCCCATGGATCAACTCGAATCCAGTCAGATGTCTCCAGCGCTAGTTTAGCCATTGCTATCCGGTGCCTTGCTGACACCAAGCCTTTCTTTCTGTAGTCATCATTAACAGGAGACATTATGCCTTCAATCACCTGATACCTTCCTTTTGAAAAACAGAAAAGAAAAAAAGAGAAAAAGAAAAATAAGTCATCTTCACAGAATCTTGAAAATTTAGGGTGGACAGGACCTTGGGAGCTCATCTATCTAGTCCAACCTCTGCAATGCATGGTTAACTTCAAAGTTATAAGAGGCTATGAACAACTTGATCCAGGTATATTTTTAATACAGAAACAGCAATTTAAAAAATTAAAAAGCAGCCTTCTTGTTCCTCTGTGAACTGCTCACAATTACTATCAGTATGTTTATCCTATTAGATTATTCAAAAAGGAAAGCTGGATGAAAATATAATTTTCAAGAATTGCTAGATATAATTAATTTTTATATTCCAATGAGTACAGCTTTTATATAGCCAGAGCAATGGATGACTTAACTGACCATTGCTTTGTTCTTCAGCATCTGATGCTTGTTATTTATCAAAATCATTGTGCCTTTTCATTGTGTTAAAGCAAGAATTATAGCATATTACTGCAGATGTGATTAATGTGATTCAGACAAATCAGAAGATTCAAGAACAAAGATGGGGCTAATGGAGTCTAAAATGAGACTTACAGCACTATGGTCCAAACATCAGCTTAGCAGCCATTAAAGACCCTTTCTATCTGGCTGATCATGTTAATTAAATTTGAAAATATGCCCATATTTTTCTACTCCGGTAACATAATGTAATCATTAACACAACAAGCTCTTTTTGTTAAGACTTTGCAGTTATGGCCTCAAATCAGGAAACAAAAATGTAGCTCTCGTTTTAATAAATCAACAGGGAAATAAAGCACTGATATGAGCTGCATCCCTCACGAAATGGAGGGGAGAGAAAGGATGTTTCAAATAAACAGAAATGAAACAAAATAATTTCTAATGTAACACAGACATTTTAAATAACTATGATAAATATGATACTGAAGGGGGGGAAAAATTCCTCTTCCTTTTTTCTAATTCAGTTGTTTCAACAAAGAAACTTAAATGCAGCAAGTTCCCTCTATTGCTTTGTAATGAAAATGATACCCCTGGACTCATAATTTCTCATACTGGCACATGACAATTTAATATTGTAAAATTTTAGTAATGACAGTATCAGAAGATGCGCCAACACACTTATTTTAATGTAGTTTGCTACCTTCCTGTTAAAACTCCAAAGCTTTAAAAGTGTCACTGATGTAGGCTTACATAAAAATATTACAGACATTCGTCTGCCAATCCCATCTCTAGGTTACAATGAAACTCCTTGTCATTCAGTATTCAGCTCTCCCAACTTACACTTTATAATAGAAAAAAAAAACGGAGTTAGACTCACTGGTAGCTTCTATGACATCAATTAAACGTGACACCAACTCAAATACGCAAATTTTCCCTTCCTGCAGATATGGACATTAGTTGAAAGACCATATAGTTCTCATCCACAGGGGAAAAAAAAACAAACAAACCACCCCCTCCCAAAACCACACCCAAACCCAACACCAAAAAGACCCAAACCCACCAAACCAAAAAACCCCAAACACCAAAAAAACCCCCAACAAAACCACCCCAAAGCCCAAACACCAAAAAAACCCCAAAACCAAAAACCCAAACACCAAAAAACCCCCACCAATGCAAACACCAAAAAAAACCACAACCCACTAAAAACCAAACACCCAAGCATGAAAAAGGAAAAGAAAATAGGCAAGACTTTTTACTTCATGTTCAGTCACCTTCTGTGAAGGGAATTCAACAGAAGGAAAATCGAAGGGGTAAACAATTCAGCAATCGTTGCATTGAAAGTCAACATAAACAACAAATACATCACAGCAGTAATGGACAATCTTTTAGGATAGCTCTCCATAGGATGGATGACTCTGCCTTCAACACTTCAGAGTGCTTGAAAGATGCATTCACTGAACTAGATGAGGTGTGCAAAAATTTAGTGACAGATGCCATATGAGTACCTAGACAAACATAAATCATATCTGCCTCGAGTGAACTGCAGGGCCTGAAGATGCAGATTTACCTCTGTAGTCAGGCAGCCACTGAAATACATTGCGACTTCAGCAACTCCTCCAACAGCCGAGTAACTGAGCATGCACAATGATCAGTCCTCAAATAAATGCTGAATGATCTCCATGCATCACATCTGTAACAAACATTTCGTACCAAGACCTCAAAATACAACTTCATTTCTATAGAGTTCACTGGATTTGGACAAAAAGAAGGAAAGGCAGTATCTTGACAGCTATGAAAATGAGTATTTCCTCCAGAAAGGAAGGATAAAACCAACATCTTGAGAGTAACAATGTGAATAATAAAGTATCGTAGCTCTACTCACAGGACACCTTATTCTGAAATGCTATCATCCAAGCTGACTTTTGCCATGTAACATGACTGGGAAGCAATGGTTCTCTTCAGAGATGCTACAAAACAGATGACTAGGATTCCAAAGTCAAATACAGGGCATAACTCAAATACCACTGCAAGCAGGGGACACCCACCCCTTATTCCGCTGAGTTTTAGAGTAAGACAACAAAACTTGTGGAACGGAAAGATGCCTACACTTCTTCCACTTAGAAAAGCATTCCTTAAATTCAGAAAAAGGTTAGGACCTAAACTGTATGCACTGATAACAGTATTCAGAAAACTGAGTTTTCTGTAACAGAAGCGTTTTCTTTAGGGATGTGGTATGTCTTGAGATGTCTTAAGATTTATGCTTTTGCTGCTTTGATTTGCACCTCTGCAAAGTGCACTCTATAGCTTTAATTCTGTCTGAATGCTAAGCCACACATGCATCCCTCTTCATGCATGTTTCAAGGGTCAAGCCTAATACAATTAACCAAGTACTGCTCTATTTAAGCAAGTGCTGCTGTAAATCTTATAATGGAAAAAAAAAAATCAGATTTGTTTCCTTTTCATTTTTTAAGTTCAGTTAATTTTAACTAATGTCTGTCAATATTTATTGTAGATGTAGTGAGTAACTACTGCTGATCTGATCCTATTCCAGTCATGTATCTGTATTGCTATACACACTATCAAAACAGTAGGATCAAACCAGGGGGTTTTGTGTTGTTTTCAAATTCCACTTATCAAATTCCACTTATCAGAATTGTTGCAGGAAAACAAACTGAAGTCTGCATTTATGCTGACTGGCTGCTGCTACAATCTGTTCCTATCCCCTTCTTGAAAATATCAGTCCATTTTAATCAGATGCAGCCCTTGAACAACATAAACTTCCAAATTCCCAAGGCTGGTTAGTGACTACTCCTTGGACTCTTCAGCTCTGCTGCCCAGCGCTGCATCTGACACAACCCATTGATTGTGTCACATCTTTCTCAAGTTTCCATAAGACAGTAACTCATTGTCCTTCACTTCCCCCTTGCATCTGTCTTGTCACAGATAGAAACATCTTGTCTTTCATACCCCCCTCCTTTGCCCTCTATCCCTTTTGGTCTTATCTGGAAACTTGGTGATAGAAGTATCCTCCACTGGCAATACTTGGGAAACAAGGTTTTAAACATCTTACATAGATTGATTCTAGTACTATTTCTTTGGACTTCATGGTCAAATGAGAAAGACAGTCAAAGAGAAATAAAAGCATCTGGTATTAGGTATTAACAGACTGGAAAGGCATTTGCCACAGTCAGTGCAAATTTCAAGAAACAATTTTAAAACAAGGGATTGAATCTGAGAAAATTCTAGCTATGTGTGAGGATGTGCAAAGAGTCAAATTCACATGAGTAGAGACAAAATCCAGATAAAGAGAATCATTATTCAGTCACACGTAGCTACATCTGTTGTATTTAAAAAGCAGCATGACAAGATTTGTCGACTGATATTAACAGAAAAAGGATTAATTACTTGACACGTGGCAATGAAACTGCAGATACCGCTTAAAGTATCAGAAACTCAATAAAATTCCCTACTTAAAACAGGGATGTATGAAAAATAAGATTAGACAGCATTTGAAACTGAAGTGATGTGCAAAAAGCTGGCAGACAGAATTGCTGGAGATGTCAGTCAGGATGCAGATCAGGCATAGTCATGTCATTCATAACAGTAAAACCTGACTGAAGTCAACTCCAGCCAAGCTATTGCACAACTCATCATTTCTGCCCGATCTGTGATTGAACAGAAATACTGAAGTAGCACCAGAAGCAAGTCGTTTTCACAGCCTAGGAAACATCCCCCCTCATGATAGTTAATTCTTCACTCATGCTAGTTACCTTTTCAGGCATTCAGTGTGTATGTTAGCTTGCAAGTGCACTATTCTCACTGCAAAGGGAATCAACGTGAATATAGCAGACCACTACCTCACTTGAAACAAGCTTTAGTCATGTATAACCATTGTTCTCTAGCCCCACTATCAGCTCCCAGTCTGCAGCTAGTGCTTCTTCTCAGCAAATAAGCTCCAATTTTTCCTCCCCTTCCCTGGGTAACTGCAGAAGTGGAAACAGGACTAAAAACATGAGAGAATGACCAATTGGTGTCCTGGGTGGGAATGGTTCTGCCATATGGCCTCAAGTTGCGCCAGGGGAGGTTTAGATTGGACGTGAGGAAAAATTTCTTTACTGAAAGAGTGGTTCAACATTGGAAGAAGCTGCCCAGGGAAGTGGTTGAGTCCCCATCCCTGGAGGTATTTAAAAGACGTGTAGATGCAGCGCTTAGGGACATGGTTTAGTGGGCATGGTGGTGCTGGGTTGATGGTTGGACTCAATGATCTTAGAGGTCTTTTCCAACCTTAATGATTCTATGATTCTATAGAACAGGCATCCAGAATCGATCATTTTTATAGCATGTTGGGTGGTGCTGGTTGATGGTTGGACTCAATGATCTTAGAGGTCTTTTCCAACCTCAATGATTCTATGATTCTATAGAACAGGCATCCAGAATCGATCATTTTTATAGCATGTTGCTAACCCCTTCTGTTTGAGAAACTGTCTTTACCGAAGCAAGAAAGACCATATACCAGATTTGTGTATCCATACATATAAACACATATCTCTACATTTACAGTTACTTCAAATAAAGCTACCTCTACTTGGGATGGGTAAAGCTTCCACAAGCTAATTGAGGATTCTTGCTTTTCAGACATCCTGGGTTAAGCATTCAGAAAGTGCAATGATGACACTGTAGGCAACCCAGACACAAATGAAGTCCCCTTCTTTGATGCATGAAGTACTTATACTAGTAAGACTCCACACATTAAACTAAGAAGTCAAAAGGCGAGTCACATCCTATCCAGAACTAAGCACTGATGTTAGAGAGGTGCAATGTAATGCACAGCTTTCATTTCAGCCTTTCCAAATTTCATTTTTAATATCATTTTCACTAGACTTGTTTAAGTAAACTGCTCTGAGTAAGGGGTAGAGTCTTGTTACACAGACCCTGCAGGAGACCAGACAATGAATTGTGATTCAGACAGAATCATAATTCATTTCCCAGTTCAATCCTTCTCTCAAGGTAAAGAAATAAGTTACTGGACTATAACATATGACTTAAACAGAAGTACCAATTGGTCTCACATTACCTTTCTACTCCTTGCACACCTGGGCAGCAGAAGCAGTTATAAAATTACAGTGAGAAAAGCCAATTCAAATCCCTTTTTAACCCTTCATTTCTAGTCCTGCGGGAGCAACAAAATAATTTTACAGTTACAGGACAATAGAGACTTGCAGAGGCAGCCCTCAGAGCCAGTTGTGTAATTCTTCCTCACGAAAGTCAAAGTATTCTCACAGTGTATGGCGAGCATGTAGTTGCTGCTTTTACTGCACAACCGTATCAGTGGGCTACCAGATTCTCTCCCCCCCTCCCCACAATTTGACAGCCAAATTCCTTTTACTATTATTTTCTGTTCAGCTTCCTACTGAACCACCTCCCTAGAAACTTCTCTGTCAGGTTCCAATAAACTATGATTCCCTTCCAACCTCTTCCAGAAACGTGTATATTTTAGCTGCCAGATGGAAAAAAAATAAAAGCCTCAGCAACTTAGTTGATCAAGCTTAGAGTTCAATGCTTCTCAGTAGCTTTTCTGATTCTTGCTTAAGTTCCTGATGTTACCCACCTTTCTCCTTTGTTGCCAAAACCTTCTAGTCTGCTGACATCTAGCTTTTCTGATCTCCTAAATTATTTTGCTAGGGGAGATAGCTTGTACCTCTTAGTGAAGATGGATAATGAATAATTAACATTTCATCTTTTCTCCAGTTTCACCCGGCTGTCAAAACTGCTAACTGTAACACTTCTTCATATTAAAACACAATGTATCATAAAAGCATGAAACTTGAACGTAAATGTTTCTTCTCAGTTTCAAAATTGTTAAGCATACTCTTTCACAAAGCTCAGCCTGTTCCATGAATATGATCCTAAAACTGCTGATAAAACTATCACTTTATTTGCATGAATACTCATTATGATATTTGTTTATGTACTGAGCCAAAGAAAGAGGTAATGCTAGACTTTCTGTATCGAATATGCCATGAAAGCCTCATACTGAATGATCAATAAAGAATATTAAAATTAGGCCAGCTGTAAAGTGCCATCTCATCTACAGCGAGTGTTAAAAATCCTTCTTCCTTTTCACAGTAAACCACCGTGTGTGTGATCCTAACAACACCTTACTGACCTGTTTGGTGCAGGTGATCTCTAGCCAGCTCAAACAAACGCATATGCATGTTTGTGATGGGGTTAAAGGAGCCACAAGCTAGAAGAATGAGAGGTATCCTGCTCTTCATTCTGACATCAAAACATTAAAACTCCACCCTAAAGAAAAAAAAAATTATTAAAATAAAAGACAAACTTGACAAAGAGCAGCCTGCCCATTGTTCCTCAAAGTAAAGGGAGCACTGGTTTCAGAACTGTGTATTCCTGGAACACTAGTAAAGTATCAGAAGATCAGTCCTCTGTATCATCACAGCATACAGGAAGTACTACCTCAGAAACACGTGTTGCTTGATATTAATTAGGAGAGCATCAACAAATTCTGCTTCCCCACATACAGAGATGGCTAGAAAGTATTTCTAGAAATTCATATTGTCACTATTATTAAAAACTGTCAGATTTTTTACATTTTTTATTTTTAACCTGCTTTTGTCAGAAAACAAGGTTTTGTTCTGTCTTTCTGTCAGTCCCCTGTTAATAACTTTGGAACCTGTAGTCCTGCTACAAAAGCAGATTTATTTTTTTTTTTACAGAAGTCCTTACAATGGACCACTGCAGCATATGACAAAACCTCACATGCAACACCCAAACGTACAGGTCTGACTTCCTTAGAGGTGGGCAGGCAGCAGCTGGTGGCCAGCCAGCTGGCACATGCTTCTAGCCAGATTATCAGCAATTGCCTGTATAGTTTCTTTGCTGGATGGCAGAGCAAGTGATGGTGGATCAACGACAGGCAACAGCAGGGAGGAGAAACTATAGCTGTCACAGGAAAACACTGGGGACATTAAAAAGCTATGAATAGGGTGCATGGGTGGGGAGCAATGCTGTTAGGAGCCTTGCAGGTGCATTTACAAACAACCCTTATGTAATTTAGTTAAAATGTCAGTCATCTCAATAAAAATGTAGTGGAAATCAGTTTAAGTTAGTCACCGTGCTTGGAGCTACTTATTTGCATAGCTCTTTTTACAACTGATCCAGAATATATCTGGCATGATAAAAACAATTGTGTCCCACATACATATCTGTTTATCCGATATCTAGATGGGGCTCTCTTCTTTTCCTAGGATTTGAAATCTCTACAATGCTCACACCCATATATCACACATATACCATTCTCTTCCCTTCCCCTGGCCTCCAGCCCACTCCATCAAGTGTAACAGGCTTTCTGCAGAAGACACTTGCATCCCAAACTTCAGAAGTCAGTCTTGGGTTAACAGACCGAATCCGGTACGGATTCTGTGCTCTGTTTAGCCAAATCCTATTCTCCATCTGCAGTGTACCAAAGCACTGTAGGTCAGAGCCTACCTCTCACTGTTCCAAGTCCTTATATTCCCTTATATTTTTTTTTCCCCTTTTCCTACTTAGAAAAATTTAGAAATAATGGTTAAATCAATATCATGTTGATGTTTTATAGCTGCCAACTCTATCAGTTCATTTACAGAGGATTTATAACTCTGAAGACTAGGACTGTACCATTTAACAGCATTCAGTGCACCTAGCAACAAGTTTTAATATTTTCACTTGCAAAATGTTGGCAGTTTGCAAACTTTTATAGGGAAAATTCTTTGAAGCATACATGCTATCTGTACCTTGACCATCTAGTACTGAATATACATATTAATTTTCTTCTATACTGTTTTCGTTTTACTTTACTTATTTCTAATATCTCCCATCATACTAAGGGAGATACACTGGGGGAGAAAAGACTCGCTGGCTGTAGAGCCATTGAAAGTTAGCAACAATTTTATGGTCTACAATTGTAGCAGCTGTAGGAAGCACATTTCACAGCACACTCTCTTTACTCTGATTTACTATCCCTGTATAGACACTAACAAACTCATATGTGAAAACTGTATGCAAACTTTACAGATTCTTTATTCAGAAAAATCAAACTCAAAGTGTTCTTTTGTTCAATATCAGCAGTTCTGTAAACGTATCTTCATTGTATGGGGAAAGGTCTTTTTGCCTTGAAACAGGTAGAAAACATTAGGATCTGTGATTAACTGAAAAAGAAACCATTGCTAGAACATGTCAGTGTTCTCCTATAGTCCCAACTTTTTGCTAGATAGATTCTGTTGCCACAGATTAGTCAATGCTGAACTCTCAGTGATAAATCAATTAATTCCAGACTAAGAATTTCCTAGAAGCAGAAACTTTTTACAGTAATAACTACAATGATGTTGCTCAGCATCCAGCCCTGCAAACAGCCTTATACAATCTTATATCATAGAATCATAGAATAGTTTGGGCTGGAAGGGACCTCTAAAGGTCATCTAGTCCAACCCCCTGCCGTGGGCAGGGACATCTTCAACTAGA